ATCTTGTGATCAATGACGACCCCCAAGTCTCTTTCTTCCGTAGTGCTAGCCAGCGTAGCGCTGCCAAGCCTATAAGGATGCTGCAGGGATTTTTTCCCAAGGTGGAGAACCTTGCATTTTTCAGTGTTAAATACCATCAGGTTCTCATCTGCCTATTTGCTTGCTGAGCCTGTCCAGGTCAGCCTGGATCACTCACCTGTCTTCTGGCATGGATGCTTTGCCCCAAAGTTTGGTGTCATTGGTGAACTTGGCCAGTCTGCTCCTGACTCCAATGTCCACATCATTAATAAAGATGTTGAACAACATGAGTCCAAGGTTTCAATGGTAATTTGTAAGTTCACGGGCAAAATAAGAAGTGTAACAAAACTCCAGTTCAGAGAACAGTTGATCAGTGCACTGTATCCAGAAGATTAGGTAGCATGGCCTGGTTTGTGTATCATAGAGCATAATGACCTTGTCAACAACTCTGGGTCAGGTATTCTTTTATGAGTGCTGTCCTTGAAACTAGCTGTAAATCAGACTAGCAGTAGTCCTAAATTTGCACAAACAGCATGTGAATAACTAGCTGTAAGATGCTTGCCTATGCATATATCAAACCAGTATTTATAGCCAGGTACAGACATTACACTTTGACTGGTATAAGTCATTGGAAACCAATCTATACCTGTAACAGAACAGAAGTTTGGCACACACAGACTGGTTTAAAGATGGTGGAACCCAGTCTAAGATTTGTTTCCCCCTCACCTCCCCACCCCCAATGGCTAATGCGTATTCTGTTTGCTACCTATCTAAACTATGACATTTATAGAAAGCTGTGTAACTTAGATAGATTCCACCTTGGGCTTTCTGAATGTCTGTACCTAGCCTATCTGTAAGTGTTATGTATCAGTATATCTGTATGAAATGAGGTTCAAACTGAAGAAACATATCTAAAGCCGCAGTATTCTCAAAGTAATGGAACTCATTAAGTGCATACTGGGAGAGGGTCTTTTTTAGCAGCTTGATATTCTGTACAAATTCTCAACACCTTCACTTAAAGATTCTGGATTTTCAAATGCAGCATGATACTGTTAAAATTAAAAGCAAACTATTCAGTAAATTTTGTTCTTCTCTGTAGGTGCTTCTTGTTTTGTATTTCCGTCTCTGGATAATGGGAGGGTCCATGCCGATGTTCTCAGAACAGGACAATCCAGCTTCATTTTCACCTTACTTACTAACAAGGTATAGGACCAATAACTGTACAACGTATTGCATTTGTATTTTGGAAATGATTTTTCAGTCAAAGCATTTCACAGACAGTAAATTAACAGAATTTTTTCCTTAAGTTGGACAGATAACTACATTTTTTCCTTGCTTTTTGTGGGGGAGAAAAAAATTGACATTTGTTGAACATTGGAGCCTATTATAGTTTTTATAGGGTTGTTCTGTCTTATATTATACCCTCTTGTTGAAACCAGTAGATTTATCTTCATACAGAGGGTAAGGTTTACAGCTTAGTGGAAAGGTAAGGGAGGATACAAGTGCCAAGTATTATTTTTTTACTACAACAAAGATTTAACTCAGGGTGGTTCTGGCTGCTAGGGAATGATGATTAATAATGAACTAAACTTGTAGTTTATTTTAGTGGAGTGCGGTGGTGTTGTTTTTCATTGCTGGAATAGCACAGAGAAACAAAAATATGCAACTGTGATTGTTTGTAGTCCTAGAATCAAACCTGGTCTGTGATGCTGTTGTTATTTCATTGCACAAATTAAGTTGGGCCAGGTCAATATTTTGGGCTACAGGGGAGCATTTGTAGTAATGTAGTAAGCAACATTCTTCCTTTTGAGTTGGACTGTATTAGTTCCCTAGAATAATAGTAGATGATGATTAGCATATAAAATGGAGCAGTGTACATAATTCTTTTTTTTTCTTGCTTGGCTACTGAATGGGAAACAAAGAACTCAGGAGGAACTGGCCTGAAATAAACATTTTTTTTGTTTCGGTTTGAACAAAAATTTTCTCCCTTGAGGGGTAGAGTTCCCTGTTTAAATCTCTATTTTTACTCAAGAAGGTCAATCAGATTTGAACTTGGGTCTTCTAGGTTTAAGGAAAGTGCCATAACAACCTGGGGATAAAGTCTCTCTGCTTTTGTCTTTAAATGGATATTTAAAAAACCCATGCAAAGTGAAATAGCAGGAGAGGATGAAAAGTAACCCACTCCAGAACACTATGTTGCTCGATAGTTAGGATGCTCAGGTGGGAAGTAAGGCTTCTGACAGATGTTCACTGTAAGGCCTCTTTCATGCCACACATGCATGGCAGAAGGCATGATTCTGGGATGGAGGATTAGATCCCAATTGTAGCATACTTGCCAGTGTAGGGGTAGCCCAGGGTCATGATCCTGGGCTCCTGCACCAGCAAGTTGGAAGCTAGGTGCCCACAGTCACCTGATTGTCAAATCCCCAGCTGGGCAGACTGATAATACATGGTTTTTATTGGTCCTGGTGCACAGGGACTCTGGGATTGGGCTGCCACAGCCTGGTCTTTGAGCCCCTGTGTGCTGGGATGAGTGAAAACAGCATGCGTCCAACCTCCATCCTTGGAGGTTTTTAAAACAGAGCCTTGCTGGGATGATATAGTTGGGAATGGTCCTGCTTTGAGCAGGGGGTTGGATTAGATGACCTCATTTCAATCATGATTTAAATCACTGGTCAGGAAGCCTCGAATTAATCATTGTTTTCTACAAAGAGTGTAGTCTTGTTATTTGATATAACTTTAATTCATTTTATTCACAACCCAGAGAGAGATGTAGGTTTCATTTTTAGAAGGTACACACTATATATTTTAAAGCAGTGATTTATTTTGATTTTTTCAGGTTAATTTTGCAGCTACATCAGAAAACTGAATTATGATTTGGTTATTTTATTTACTAAAGCTCATTGAAGCAGATGTTTGTGAAGTCCCTGGGAAGTGTATCTCCAGTTCATTAGATTAATCATGGATATTTAGGGGATATTTTTACCATGCTGTATTAGGAGGACATCAAATAAGTAGTTCAGCCATACCTTATTAGCTTGAGGTGTTATTCTCTTTCTTCTAGATTTCTTCTCATCTTTTACAACCTGGCAAGCCTGCTGCCATGGTAGGTTTTCCCTTCTACCATACCATTCCCTCACTAGATCTCAAATCAATGGAGAGGTTATACGCAGCAACTTATCCTTCAAGACTTCTGGAATATTCTGCTCAAATTCTCTTTTGTTTTTCTTCCCCTCCCTCCGTGCATGCATCTCCAGACTCCTCCTCCTTGCCCAGATCTACTCCACCCCCAACAGTCCTCTATTTATTTAACTTCTTGAAACTTTGCACTTTTAGAGAGAGGTAAGGGCTTGATGGTATGTACACAAACTTTCAGAGGGATGATAGGGATGACGGGTAGCTGTTGTAGTTCGTTATCTCTGTAGATATAAATGCACAGCTTGAGAACTGAAACTAAGGATCAGAGAGATACTCAGTGGGATCTTCTGAGCACCGAGTCCCATTGGGTAGAGTGGTTTTCTTTACTCTTTACTAATCTATTGAGGAGCCTCTGGGAATACTATAAGATTGGGCCCCTAATATAGTCCATGGCCTATTGTGACCTATTTATAAAACTTTCTGAAAAGGTTACATAAATATATTGTCCCACATAGTATATAATTAGAAGTTATAATCCCTATTCCATGATGATATCTTTGAGATTTAACATATCTTAAATTAAAACTATCTTTACATAGGTTTATTTTTTTAAAAGCATCTTAACAAAAATAATAAAAAAATACGATTAAATAAAAAAAATCTGATTTAAATAAATCTGATTTAAAAATTTTTTTTTTATTTAAAAAAAAATGTTGATTTTTATCTACCCTGACCTGTGACCCTGTCTCTCTGGTTCCTTTAAACATCATGGACACCTATACACATGCAGCAAGGCTTCTCTGACGCACTGTAATTACAGTGTGTTGGGAGTGTGGTAATTATCATGCTCCAGCAGACTTCAGTGTCCTGTACTGAAAAAATGGTGGTGGGAGTGCTTTAACTTAAGATCATATGAGCTTTAGTTAAAGAGCCCCCACTGCCATTTTTCAGCTGATATATGTGATGCTCTGTGCTCCTGGAGCACATGTATAAACACACCCCTTGTGTGCAGTTGGGCTGCATATACAGCTTTCTGACATCCCTGGTGCTCAGACCTCTGAATCAGGGGCTGGCCCTTGATCCAAGGATACCCAGGTACCAGAGATGTCCAAAAACCACATGTGCAGCCCAGATGCACACATGGTTTTTAAAGGTTTGGGGTGCAGCGAGTCCAGCATCATGGAGACTGTCTTTGATGCTGGGCTCACTGCACCACCCATCTTTCTCCAGGAGTTGGCTGGGGATCTGAGATCCTGGGACTGGTTCTCTGCCAGCCTGATTGGGTAGGGGACAGCAGTGTTCTGGACCCTGTGGCTGCCCCATTCTGGATCCTGACTCTCAGTTGAGTGTGAAGATCTGTCATGGGCCAGCCCTAACCAACCACATGTTCAATTTAAGGTGTGATACAAACAAGCCACAAAAATCTTACACCTTGTATATGGAATAACTTTGTGACTTGTTTACTATATTATCATGCCTTAAATTGACACTAACCTGTGGCCAGGTTATTATTTAAGATATTAACTTGTTAATCATGTCTTAAATGTATTGTGTGTCAGGGTCTTAATAAGGTGAATTTAAATCCTCTTAGGAAGAATTTGGACTGAGGTCTCCCTTTCCCCAGTAAGTGCTCTCACCAGAGATTTCTTAGTTACAACAGGAACCATCAGTGCTTAAGGAAGAGGAGAATCTAGCTCTTCAGTTCTTTTCTTAAATCAACACCCCAAGAAAGAAAATTTTCCAACCTTTCCAGTGTTAGCACTTTCTGAAACATTGTTTCTTTTGTTTTGGCTAAAGCTTTTCTGTGAATTCAACCTGAATTTGGGAAGTAAAGGATCACCAAAAATCCATTTGGCCATCCATAATCTGGAGGAGGAGCTAAGGGATCTCTCTGTAAATCCAGAAGTGTGAGTTAGAGCCCCTGGTTGACTTAGCAGAATGTGACTTAATGGTCTCTGGCCTGGTGGGGGATTGAAGGTGGCTGGAAGTGATCTCAGTTATATTGCTCCTTTGTGTGCTATTGGTTACTGAAATTTGCATGTCTCACCGTAGTGAAATGTCCCCTAGGATCAGGTGGACCTTCGGAATGTTTGACCTAATCAAGAAGCTTTGTTTTAATTGATAAAATAATTTAATGCAAAAAGAAAAATAGGCATGGGGGGGTGTTTTGTTTTTCAGGAGAGAATATGGCAGTGGTTGAGAGATGTTTTGGCTTGAATAGTCCCGAAGTAAAAGGGTAGTAGTCTTGTGTAATACCAGTTTTCCACGACTAGTCTGTTGTTCTTAGTTCCTGATGTTAAAACACAGCTGAGACTAGCAGGTTGAGATAAACCTCTTAATTCAACATCTGGAGGAAAACTGAACTAGATCTCATTTGAGAAGCTGCTGTAATAATGTGTCAACAGCTTCCTATTACCACCAGCACTAAAATTACTTCCAGGATGCATGTTGGCTAGTTTGGAAAGTTTTAAATTGTTGCATATGATATGCATGTGCCATTTTTGTTAAAGTAGCTAATAACAGATTCCTTATGTCACTATATAAGACTGTTGCTGGTTGTCCCTTTTTTATGTTAATGCTAATTATAGGGTCATCCTAACATAAACCAAGCAGGCATGTTTATTCTGTAACTGCAAATATTCTGTTGTGTTTCCAGTTAGCATCAAAAGCCTCTCAGTCTTTGTATAAAATATTAACATTTACTTATTGATACTAAAGGAACTTCTTGTTTTGTTTTGTATGACATGGCAGTGAAAGAGGGCTAAGCTACAATACTCAACACTGAGCTTTTCTTTTTATCTGCAAACATGTGCAAAACATATAACAGTGGGTTGAGCTTCAGTGCTTTTATGCTGGTGTGCCTCTAGCCTGAGATCCAGTACCCATTCTGTTTTTAGCTTATGCTGTGGCTGTCAGCAAGGGTACCTGTTAGAATCATGTGTTTGTAGGGTATGTGGTTTAAAGCTGTTCTGGGAGCTGGAACCATCACCCAGAAATTATTGGAACAAAAATATTTTGGAAATGCAAATCAGAAATGGGGAATCTGAAATTGGAAAAAAAAATCT